TGCTACTCGATTCCTGAAACCCAAGTAGTGTAGGGCAACTTTCAAGCAAGCAAGCCTATTAAACCTCAAGTAGGGATCCATGTGAGAAGGTAACGGTATTACGTTTCGCCATAGGCAGCTTACAGGAGTCCTTCGCCGTTGCACATGACCCGACACACACGAGCTCTTGTGACATCCTGTGTGCCGAGTGTCTTGCTTTAGCTACGTTACCTAATAACTAGATGAGGACTCAATTTAAAGACAGGGATGTGCAAAACTACAGATTTTTGCTTAGTAGTTGGTACGTACAATTTGGCTGGTTTAGGGCCGTTTATGATTTTAACGGTTGCATTTTTACATCCTTTGCAGATGCAACATTAACAGTCTATCAGATTGTATAACACCATAGCTAAGACTTTGGTACTAACCGGCTGGTTGAACGCTTTTATGGCCGTGTATGTTTTTTTAATCGTATTTTTACAATTACTGCTTGTGCAGCATCAACAGCATATAAAACAGTACAATATATGATAACTAAGACTTTGGCACCAACCAACCTGTTAAAAGCAGATGTGGCAGTGTACGATTTTTACTGATGTATTTTTACAATCAATGGCTTGCGCAACATCAACAGTCTATCAGACTGTATGATATATGACATAGCAAAGACTTTGGTACTAGTCAACCTCATTGCTCACCGAACACAACTGCGAAGCAAAATTTCTGACGTGGACAAAACTTCGAGCCGGGACTCAAATGTGGGATGCTCGAAGCACAACAACAAAATTGTTTTCTACCTTAAATTCTCACAAACTACTCGCAATTCCTCTCAACACCACAACCATATAAGCAACAATTATTTCAAAGCAAATTCTCCCAACCACGACAACAAAAACCCAATGTGGCTACACATCTGAGAAGTTGTCTCTAAATAAATCTTCTAAATAAAAACGTCTTTACATTCAGTGAAAAGGAAGTGGACATTTACATTATATGATTCCTTTATGGTTTGTACCCACTGGCAGGATGAGTGCCGTACAACGCGGTACCGCTCAATGTTTCTGGACCAGCTGATTCAGCAGACGTTAAACTTCATGAACGAGCCAAGCACAACATTTGCTTTACATGAGCAACTCATTCTGGAACACACTCATATCCGAGTTACGTAATTTATTTGGTTGAAGTGAAATGCTAATGACAATGTGGGCCTCTTGGAATAAACAAATAATTTTTGCTTGAAAATCCCCATCTTGGAGCCCAAACTAAAAATAAATCTCTCTCCTACAATCCCATTTGAAAGGAAGCAAGAGGAGGAGAATCCCATGGACATTGGGTTGGAAGGGAAATAAACCAGGCCACTGCTGCTCTCCTTGAACAATCTGTCCCTTTCTCCTACACCTCCTTCATTCTCATCTTCTCGCTCCCTCCATCCCAAATGAAACATTAGAGAGGACAGGGAAATGGTGTCCTTCAGGGTAAACTACATGAGGGAGAGGCAGTCCCTGAGAGCCAGAGGTAGGAAGTTGTTCTTTTTAATTCCCACCATTGCTTCATTTGACACCAAAAGTTAGTAAGAATGAATTGGGATCTACTAGAAGCAGGTAATTAGCCTAATTAGTGGGCCATAAAGTTCTCTGTGAAGAACTTGAGCACATGTCGACTGATCCATCAGATTCATTTGTTCAGACTGTGCAGTCTTATATTTCGGTGTATCTACATCTGTTACCTTGCTGATAACAATGACAGCTGCTGTAACGTTGGAGCAATGATTGACAACAGATTGGCTGCTGTCTCCCGGTTCAGTGGGAAAATCAATAATAAGCCAATAGATCACAGAAAAAAGTAGACAAATTAAACATGAACTTATCAATCACTTCATAATCGTAAATTATAATAACCATGCATTTTGATAATTAACTGTTTATTTCTTATTATGAAATTGTGAATTTTTCAATTTAATAACATCTATAACTGACTGTTTGATTTAACAATTTTCAGTCAGTTTTTAGCTACCAAATTGTGATTATATCCATTTACCAACATTTATAATGCATTGCTTCATTTATTGATTTTCAGTCAACTTTTGATTATCAGATTGTGAATTTATCCTTTTTCCAATGCTTATAATACATATAATATACGAATACGTAAATTAAGCTGTTTGCCAATGTCAATAATTGATTTCATAGATAAATTCACAGTGTGATATTTAAAAGTTGAATATGAAAAACGATAAACCAAGAAATCCATTATAAATATTGGTGTTGGTGAATAGATAAATTTCACCTTCTGATATTCAAGTTGATTTATCATTTATAATAGATGGTTTGATTTAACAATTTTCATAGTTTATTTTTGTTTATCGAATTGTGATTTTTATTATTAAATATGAATAAGACCAACAACAACTACATTTCCTTTTTAATACACTTGAGGTTTTAGGGCATATGCCTGAACTGCACAGAGGATGTTAAACATGAAATCCTTCTCACAAAAGATTGTTCATTATTGGTTCCTAGTCATACCAGACATTTTGAAAGTGTTAAATTGAGTTGTTATTATGGGTTGACTCACTCCAAACAACTTCCAGGCACTAAAAGAAGCTAGAACAGGCCCAGTTAGTGTGTCAGTCTCTGGTTTCTGTGACACTCCATCAGTCTGGCGAGGGAAGAGGGTAACATGACTCGAGCTGCCAGGCTGAGTCAAGCACGGCCAAGCCCAGCTCTCATCACCTGCCACAGGCCCTGGGTGTGTGCATGCTTCACTGGAGCGACGAGCTGATCAGGAGCAAACCCTGATACCTGTCAGCTCAGCGCCACGTGTAAGAACTTGAAGCCTGCTTAGAGAGATCCTACTAACGAGAACTTAATAACTGCGCCAAATCTTAGCTGGAAAATTGAAGCTAGCTACAGAGTGATGCTATAGGGGCGGGTGGCATGACCAAAATCTGACTATCACGAGATGAGTAGTTACAGGAACAATTTATCATTCAATTAACTTTATATTTTTGTCAGAAATTCAAAATAAAAAAAAAGGTTTAAATAGTCTTATAACAAAATTGTTGATTAAATTCTGATTGGATGAGCAGTGTTTGAAGTCTATATAAAATGACTATAAAATGCACACTATACATTCTATGTTAATAAGTAAAAATTTGTTAAAATAATGAATTACTTGATGGAAAAATACCTAGTACCTGTTTATGGCACATCGGTGTCTGTTACAGTAAAAAAAAAAATATATATATATAAATAATAATAATAGTGCTTGGGACACTTCTCATATGACCAAAAAACAACAAAAAAATTATAATATATTTATATATACACACTATTTTATCTAAATAAAAATATATATATAAATAAATAAAAACAAGTTTCATTTAATGCTATTTAAATGCTTAGTAAAATTTAAGCATCACAACATTATGTACAACATAATAAATTGATATTTTGAGATTTAAAAAAAATATATTAGTGTTTTTAAAGATTAACTCTAGATAACAGCAAATGTCAAATAAATTAAATTAAATAGGGAAATTGGCAGCAGTAACATTACATATCCAATACTGATGATACAAATCAATAAGAACAAAATAAATAAATACAAATAATATTAAAGTAACAAATTTGTTGTGAACAATCATAACATCAAAAAAACAGGAAAAAGAATGCAGAAGGGAAACCTGTCTGTTTTGATGAAGTAGAGTAGTGTGCAGGAAGTCATGGTTACTCATCTCTTCCTGTTGGAAGAGACGTTGAGAACGTCGCAGGTCTGACCTGCTTCCTTCCTCCCCACTAACAAACAGACACGGTTTTCCACATCAATGCAGGAAAACAACAGGAGAGAACTGAATTTTCACAGCTATGCATAGTCTTTACATTTCAGACAACAAGAAAGAGAGATTCTACTGGCCCATCAAATTTGCTTTTGGTTCCACCAGGCTGTGACTCAGTAGCCGCTGTTCCCAGCAGGTCGGTGGCCACTTGCTAATGGCATGATGTGTGGAGGTTGGTTGGCCAGCAAGCAAGCCAATGACACACAGGCATAGCTATGAAGCCGGCTAAATATAACTGCCATTGTTGTGGTCTGACAGAGTGACTTTGCTTGGACACAGCAGATATTTAGCAACAATTGGTTCACGTAAAATATAATGTTACATGTTTGTTTGCGCAAAAAGTGCAGCTTGAAGATCATAAGGGTTTCAAAACAAAAATCTTTGCCATTTTAATTAAATTTAGACTCATGTGTCATGACCAAGCTATTGACAGATGGAGCAATAAATATGACTGATGTTGTCCTGTTGACAGACACTGTTCAACATGTAGAACAAGTGATAAAGCTCCAAAAATGAAGCCATAGATTTTATAATATAGGTTAGGGATGAATAAGGGATTTCATTGTCAATCCTGAGAAAACGTTCTGGTGGTTTATTATATTCGAAATAAACTCATATTTTGAACTTTAAATATCTAACTTTACAACATTCAGTCACTGTTCCAGTGAACCGTGTGTAAAAAGCAACTGATAGTAATTCTAGAGAACAATGAGGAACAATGGAGCAACTCTTTCATTGAGCACAGACCAAATTGTGGACAAATGGAACGTTGGCGTTTAAAAACTAGAACGCCGAACGTTCCCTTTAAAAAGGCAGCAAGTTACAGCGAAAATAAATTCTGCTCGTGTCGTTTTTAGTCCAAAACTTTAGACGTTATTTCTTCCGTGGAACACAAAAGGAAATATTAGGCCTCTTTTTGTAGCAGCCAAGGTCACATCTTTTCTTCATATATTTCATTTTGTGTTCGACAGAAGAGAGTCAAACAGGTTTGGAACAATAGAACTTTCATTCCTTTAAAAGCGAATGACACTTTAACATTGGCAACGTTTACAGAGGTCATAAACAATTATAATAACACTCTCGTTATCGAGTGTTCAATTTGACGTTTATACACATTATTAGTTTGTGTATAAAAACTCGTCAAATGACATTAAAAGATCAGACACTGTCAGCCGTCACTCACCTTAAAATAACCCCCCTCATAGTGCGTATTCGGGGGTCCGAATATCGCGACTTCCCAGTTGTACAAATCCGACTCGTCGACTAAAGTTATTTTGAAGCCTTCAACCGGCTCGTCCTGGAGACTTTTCAGCTCCAACATTAAAGCTTTTTGGGAACTCGCAACATGATGGTGTCCACGCTGAGCCATATTCCGAAAACAAACGATCTGGCATCCAAAATTACCCAGCAAACAACTTTAGTTCGCTCGTTTTACAAACGCCGCCGTTCGTTCAGTAGCCACACACGCTTGGCCACGGCGCGCCAACAAACCCCGAGATAAGTCACTCGATGACTATTTACGCTCAGCTAGTACCAGCCCCCGTCGATTTGCTGTTCGCGTCGGGCATTTGAAGTCCCACGTTAAGCACCTGCCGTCGATATTAAACGTGTTAGATTAATCAAGCGTTCCGCTAGTATATAAACACGCAGCGCAGTGCAGCTTGTTTGAGGAGTCTCGCTCCCTCCCCCTGTGCCAGCGCGCGGCTGAACATCACGTCCCGCCTAATACGCCTCCTGCAGCCAATGGAGGTCGAGCAGCTTAACCCAACGAGTGAAACACAACACAAGGAAATATTGCAACAGCGCTTAAAGACAGTTTATACTGCTACGTTGACTTTTTATTTCAACACTGGGTAAGTTGTCAAAAAGCAACTTGCCATTAGATAACCTTTTAGAAAAATACTGAAACAATTACAAAAAAAACATTTTCTGAAACAGCAAATCTATCTATCTATCTATCTATCTATCTATCTATCTATCTATCTGTCTGTCTGTCTGTCTGTCTGTCTGTCTGTCTGTCTGTCTATCTATCTATCTGTCTGTC